TTTCTTTTTTTGCTATTATTTTAAAATCAATTACAAAAGAATTAAGACGCGATTTATTTTTATAATTATTTATCTTAAGGTGATGATTAATGCAATGTGATGTATATGAAATCCTTGGAAAATCCATAGGAAAAAATGCGAAAACGTACTCTTACATTCTTCTTTGCATTCTTTTTTTTTCAAATCAATATGCAAAGTTTTTTGAAAACACCAAACTTTAACAAAAACTTTTTTTATAAGCAATCCCAAAATAAATATCAAGAATTTTGCAATGTATATGCATATTACAAACAAGCAATACTTTGTGACTCTAAGCCAAATCGTCAAAAAATAATGCAAGAATGTGTAGCAGTTTAGAAGGAAGTTAAAAAAAATGATACTGCTTTTATTGAAAACAAAATTCAGGAATATTATGATACCATACCTTCCACTATTCGCTCTCATCAAAGAATTTTAATGTCATGTGATTCAACTAACAGCTCTCATCAAACCTCCACTCCATCCACTCCAAGACAGTTTGTCAGGTTTATTGACACTACAACAATACCACCAAATGCCAAATCACAACATATTGCAGCTGAAAAGATCAATTCAGCTGCAAAAAGCCTAGCTGAATATCAACGAATGAAGGAGATCGTTACAGATGACTCAATGAAAGTTTTGTTATCGTCTAAAATAATTGAAGAACAAAAAAATATATCAATACAAAATGCACAGTTAACAAAGCTGAAACGTCATGCTGAAGTCCAATCAAGGCTAGCAACAAAAAAACAGAAATTGCTAGAAGAGGGTATTATAGAAAAATATGATACTCCAGGAAGACCATCTGTGGCTATGAAAGATCCAGATCTATGGGATAAAATCCATGATAGCGTTGAGTTTGGAGGTGCTCATGCTAAACGAAGAAAAGTAGTCATAAAAGTTAAGACTGTGAAGCATTTACGCGAAACTCTAGAAGAAAAATATAATACTTATCTATCTCGTCAATGCTTATCAACTTATCTTCAACCCCGAAACTAATGCATCTTTGCTGCACATTATCATCATCATCAACAAAAGTTGGTCTCACCTCTGTATCATAGATAGAAATGAAACCTCATATCAATGAACATTACTGTCTAGCTTCCGTCAAAGCCGCAAGAGTATTTGCTGAAGTTTTTGCTGAGAAGGTGATTATCATCTCTCAGGATGACAAGGCAAAGGTCGGATTGGGCATTCCCGCAGTTGGTCACACATTCAAAACAATCCAGTCAGTTAATGAACCAGTAACTGTCAAAGATCATGATTTTCCAACTGGTTCAAAAATGAAACTCATATCTTCTGTTTATTTAGTCATTAATCTGGCTGATTCGAGTAATACCCTTCCCTTCGTACTGGTCGGCTTTCCATATTCATTAGGCCAGAATATTTCATTGGAACTTCATCAACAACCCATATAGTA